GTCAGATTTTAAACTTTAGAGACTAAAAAATGATTTTTTTCAATATAGGGACCAAAAATAAGTTTTTTCAATAGTTAAGAGACCAAAAAAGATATTTAACCAAACTTAATCAAGTACGGACTAAATTAAAAACTTAATTTAATATTAAAATCAGATATTTAAATTTTTATATGACTAAGTAACTTATTCCTTCCGTATAAAAATAAAAAAAAAATAAAAAAAGAGTAAGGCGCAGAAGCTCATAAATGCCAATGTTCGAAAGTATTTGTCTAATTGGCTATTTTTCACCTTTACAACCTTTCCGATCTTTTCGATCTTCTCATCAATCCAAATTCTAGAAACTAGAATACATAAAACAGCTAACAACCGTCCCATTCCTTACGCAAAGCTATTGAATACGAATTTCAAATGATGCGAGGATTGATCTGGCACTTGGTCACAGAAGTATTCTCCCAACATTTCTTTAACCATGTCTTTCATAATTCCTAACAAGATAAACTTGAATGTACGTCCATGATTTTCTTTTAGCCATAACATGCCAAGTGTCATTGCAGGGTAAAAAACAAACCAACATATCTCGAAAGTAATCTTCGCTAGCCTAATGCGTTGTTGTTCCTGCTGGTTTACATTGCTGCAAAACTTTGTGATTACGTAACCGATTAAACGCGGCACTACGATTCTAGAAGATTTCTGTATTATATATACAAATAAGCTTTATAATCAAAGAAGGTGCTACCTGCCGCATCAACAACATAATATATAAGAAAAGGTGCCCACAGAGGGAGTAATTTCCGAACTGGCCTTCATTCATGCTTTTCCCCTTCATGGACCTTCTACAAATCCACTTGCCCCAAAGTTGAATCCATCGTCAGAAAGTATCTCAAGAAGGTGTTCAAGGAGGACGTCGGACGGGCCGCCGGCTTGCTTCGTGTCCACTTCCATGACCGCTTTGTTCAGGTAATTACTATTAACTTTGTGAAATCCATCTTTCTGTCAACAACTCTTTTTTTTTTTAATGTGTTTAAGCGCAAATGATTCCTAAAGATATTTTTAGTAAAAAAAAAAAAAATGTTTTGTAGTCATTTTGTACGGACTGTAAAATGCCAACTCTATGGTTAATGGCCCTTCTATGGGGCTAGGGGGAAGGACCCTTATTACAGAACTGAGACCGCTCAACTGAGGATGTGTTAGCTTGAGTCGAAATGGAAACACAGATCACACCCTCTTTTTTTTTTTCTTTTTCGAATTGATGTATATTTTATAGGTATAATGGTTTACAATTTTGATTATTTTAAATTATTATGGTTTCAAATTATTCGAATTGTAAGATACTTTTTTTAGTATTTTAATTATTAGAAAATATAAGATAAAACACACTCTCCAGTCTCCAGATTTTGGACATATATATGACGCTGAAAGGATAATGCTCTTTTTCCTGTCTGTGGATAAGCGAATTGATGATACTATTTAAAGCTCGATGGTTGAAACTTGAAACACGCATTGAAATAGCACTACGTGTATTATTAATTTGCAGGGATGTGATGGCTCGGTGCTGCTGGACGGATCGGCGAGTAGGCCAAGCGAACAGGACGCACCGCCGAACCTGATCTTGAGAGCCAAGGCGTTCGAGATCATCAACGACCTGCGCGAGCGGGTCCGCAAGGAGTGCGGAAGAGTCGTCTCCTGCGCTGATCTCGTCGCACTTGCCGCTCGCGACTCTGTTTTCTTGGTATGCTTTTCCTCTACTCTCTACGGTTAATTATCCCGTAAAGAGAAGCTTCTTTTATTTATTTGTTTTTTGGCCGGCGAAAAAATATAATTACTCTAAAAGTATATTGATTCAGAACATTTAGTCAAGCCTTTGAAATTTTTTAAATTTCATTTTTATTGTGTGGAAAAAAGATAGTCCAGTCATATTGTATGAGTATTCAACATTCAATTCCATCCCATAAAGAATTTTTTTTTTAAATGGCTGATTAAACTTTTCTGTTTTCCCTAGCAATTGAATTTTATTTTATATAATTAAATTTTTTTTCTTCTTTCTTCTTTTTGCTAGTTTCTTTGTTGGGATTTTTTAACATATACTTTAAGCACAAGATAAAAGTACAATAAATATATTATTTTGTAATTAACATATATATAAATTAATTTAAATTTAATTAATTAATTAATTAAAACTATAACGTAATAATAATACTAAAATAAAAATAAATTTTTATTATTTTTTATATAAATTAATAAAATTAGTACTTATTCGCATTACCTCCAAAAAATTAAAAGAAAAAAAAAACACCTTAATGTTTGCTTTAAAAATAAAATATTTTAATCTTTTTCAATGAATATTTATTGAAATGATGTAATTTTAAAATAATTTTTCTCACAATTTTTAAAAAGTAAGACTCATAAATACTATTCTCTAAATTAATTATAAAAGATATATTTATTACACTCAACCTTAAACAACTCTCAATAAAGTTTGTCCCCCTACCGGCTTCAACCACACCACTGTGTTGGACATCAGGAGCGCCAACAAGTTCGACAACAAGTACTACGTTGACCTCGTGAATCGCCAGGGGCTGTTCACCTCCGACCAAGATCTGTACACTGATCCTGGGACCAAGGACATTGTCGAGATCTTTGCCGCTGATGAAACGCTGTTCTTTGAGAAATTCGTGCATTCCATGATTAAGATGGAACAACTGAGCGTATTGACTGGGAAGCAAGGAGAAATTCGTGCAAATTGCTCTGTGAGGAATTCCGATCATAAGCTCTTGACTTCTGCGGTTGAAGACGAAGCCGAGGAGGCCTGGTCTGAGTTGAAATGAGGGTTGTTTAATTTGGATGTTTAATTTCTAGCTGCATATTCCTGCGTTTTACTAATGTATTTTATTTGCAAGTGGGGTTTGTAACTTTTTATCATCTTATCTTCAAGCTATGGTGAATTAATTGCCTCTACAATTTGACCAGTTGATATTAGCGTGTTTCGAGTGACATCTAAGTTTGATGTGCTACTGCAATCAAAATAAATCACACAAATAACCCAATTCCACCAAACAACTAAATTCCAAATTAAAAAAGGCCTAAGCACCAGGGAGCATAGATCCAAGAGAGAAACAGAGACAACAGTGAGGCAGCATTGTTCCATACACCTGGTCTTCATGGTTCTGCAATCTTCTTCACAAAAATGGATTCCTGTAGCTTTGCTGTCATGGCTTCCTTATCTGCAGATTGTCAGCAGAGGATGCCTTAGGTACCAAATTTGCATTGCCCTCTTCAATCTTTTAAGGATTTTTGCTTTTGTCCTTCTGCATTTCCTCCAATTCTAGGTATTGGAAACATGTACAAGATTAGAGATGCCATATAGTGATTAAGTGGCATTCTCAATCTCTAATATGACCATAACAGCGCATTACTCAACAAAAGAAATAAAATACTAACTCCTGTCTTATTTCCTATTTTGACTTTTGTATGTAGTTTGACTTATGCTCTAATGTACCAAATGAATGACAGATAAAATGAGTTTTTAATTAAATATTGAAACTACTCGATCAACAAGAAACTGTATATATATGAAGGTCAAATTCAAAAACAACAAGAACTATGTATAACAGGAAAATTTTAGTGACGAGTTTTGCATAGATTAATTGATCATTTAGCTGATCTGTCAGTTGGGGACAGGGGTATGACAGATAAAGCTTCATTAACCTCCTCTACATTCTCATCAGAAGAAGTTGCATCCCCATTATCCCCTCTTCTCTCCTCGTCTGTCCTCTTAAGATCTATCTTCCAATCAAAGGAATTTGATAGATATGTGAAGAGAAATAAAGCCACTAAATTCAGACAGGCCAATGTCCTGTAGTAATTGTCAAGACGACTAGTGTTGATGGCCTCACGTATCCAACTTCGGAAAACTAGAATAAACACTACACCGATATATTTTGCCATTCCCTCCACCAACTTATTGAATGCGAATCCCAAATCTGTCCTTGATTCTGGTACAAGGTAAAAGAAGAAATTTTTAAGCCCTCCTCCTACAAATCCACTGGAAAATCCTAAGAAGAAAAACTGTGGAACCAACCAAGAGATGTTCATAGTGCTTTCTGATGTTTTGATCAAATGCAGTCTGCAACCCTCAACATGCCAAGATGCAATGCAGCAGCAAAAACTAAAAACAATTCCGGAAGTAAGCCTAACATGGTGTTTCCAATTTTCGTTAGGAAAGCATTCTAAATTGAAGACCCTCTTTGTGAGGAAGTTGGTAATGGATCGTACCAAGACCATACAAATTTGAGGACTAAGAAACTTGACCCCTTTTCCTAGAATATCAACTTGCTGCATGAAGAAAGTGGCGCCTGATGCTTGGATTACATAATAGGCAAGGAATGGCGTCCATAAAGGGAACAATTTTAGATGCTGCCAGCTCTGCCATTTAATCCTTGATTGATTGTCCTGCGAGACCAAAGTATTTGTTGTTTGCGTTTCAGACTTGTAATACATGAGTCCAAAACAGAAAGACACATAACCAATCCCCATTGCTATTGCTCCAATCATAAATTTTAGCTTCCAAGACCTAGATGATATTATTACAGCTGTGATGAACCCTGGAAAATATCCAATCCAAAACCAAACTTTTATACACTCCTGAACCCTTTTCTCATGCTTTTCCTTCTCATCTTCTTCAGGCTTTTTCTTCTCATCTTCTTCAGGCTTTTTCTTCTCATCTTCTTCAGGCTTTTGTCTAATACACGAACAAAATTTTGTCCTTTTCTTCACCCTTCTCTCATGCTTTTTCTTCTTATCTTTTTCATGCTCTTTCTCTTTCTCGTAGTCTTGGTCAAGTTGCAACTTAACCTGGCGTTTTAGAAATGAGTATATGATTCTTCTTCCTGCTCTGCCCAGCGTTAGCAATCCTAGTGCCAAGAAATTAATTCCAATATTCCGGGTTGGAATAAGCCATAATGTCAGTAGACCCTGCAACATGAACAATGGCAATTACCAATTAGTTGCTCTCCTACTTTAAGACAACGTGGAAAGAAGCAAAAGGGTGAAAAAAAAATTATGAAGAATGAACTTACTGAGAGGAAAATTCCATGAGTAATGAGAATGGTTATGATGGGATACTTTTGTGCATAATTTGAGTATGCTAGGAAACTTGCCCAAAGTGCTGTAGTGGCTTCCAGGGAAGTTGAAACGACTGCATTATACCACATATTCTCCCCAATGATTTCTTGGATAAAGTCAAGAGAGACATTCCAAAATGCAAATTGTACATAGCCATGGCTGAAAAATAAACCTATTGCATCCAAGGTCAATTGAGTTGAGACATACATTGTCTAGCTTTTTATGGATCAATAATGTTTTGTTTTTTTAAAGTATGACTCCAAGTAGAAGTTAACAGTACCTAACATGAATAAAGCAGCCTTGGAGAAGTAGCGGTAACAACTACAACATGACCTTGCCATTTATGAAGGTCGATCGTCCACAATGCTTAAGTACGTACGTATATGAGCAAGTTTGAAGCAAGGCCTATGATAACCTGTACATCACTGCAAAAACTTCATTAATATTGAAATTACATATAGGATTTCCTGGGTATAGCAGAGGAAGCTACCAAATACAAAAAACTCAGACACCCAAAAAGGAAGATATTTAGTTGGGTGTCCCAATTATTTCTCGCAAATTGCATTTCTTTCTCAACCAAATAAATCCATATATAGTCATCAGCAGTACAAGTTAGCCTGAAAACGGCAGTGTTAGAAATTGATAAAGCCATAAAGGGGAAAGTGGAATGCTGATTGAACTTTTTTATGCCGAAGATGAATTTATGAGAATCTGATTTGTGAATAAAACTGAGTTTCATATTTACAAAAATTGAAATTATGAGAAGATTTATAGGGTAATTGTTCAAATTATTGATTAAAAAATATTTCTTTACCTGCATCACCAGTATTTGAATCCTTATGTTCCCTTTACTTCCCTTTTCCCTGTAAAAAGGGAAGAAGAAGAAGAAGAAGACGAAGAAGAAGAAGAAGACGAAGAAGAAGAAGAAGAAGAAGAAGAAGAAGAAGACGAAGAAGAAGAAGAAGACGAAGAAGAAGAAGAAGAAGAAGAAGAGACTCGGATCACTCAGGTGCTTTGGTACAAAGATTCATGGAAAAAGTGCTATGACTAGGGGGATTCGCTGTCCATAATTCTTGCCAAAGAAGCTTTTTCCAACGGGAAAGTTTATCTTTAACAGGGAATTAAGAAGACAGTTCGGAGCTGATATGGTACATGCCTTTATGATCTATTTTGGTCATGGACTCATGGCGCACATCTTTCAGCGTCCAGAGGAAAATGCAGGTGAGAACGTTGTTGCGCTTGTGTAGATTGGGCTAGCTGGAGCAAAGATTGGAGTTAGATTTTCATTTTTTCTTGACTGGGGCGAAGACCCCTGATTGATGGAGTGAATATTAATTAACACCCAGGTCGTTCTATTTAAAAAAATACTTCAAAGTATCATTAATACGTGATTAAATGTCAATTTTAGTTTTTTTTTTTTTTTTATGTTGGTTGCATAATTGAAGTTAACTTTTTTTCATCTCTTATCCTACCTTACTTGCATGTCAAACGATTCAAACTCCGAACTTCTTATTTTTAACAAAAAGAAATTATCACTGAACTACTTAGATAATTAATTTAATTTTTAACTTTTAAGATTTTACATAATTTTTATCTTAATTTTGTATATATTTTTTTATCTCTTAATTATAAAAAATATTTTTTTTATTTTTTTTATCAATTAATTTATTAAATTTTCTAAATATATATATTTTTAGTTTCTTTTAACTTATAATATATACATTTCTAAAAGTAAAAGGTTAATAAAGCTAAAGGAGGCCAAGGAACCCGCTAACGAGTCAATAGGTTTACCATTAAATATAAGAATATGGTTTTAAGTAGTTGAGAGTTTTACCTTTATTAATTACTTGAAAAGCTTATTTCCTTCTTCTAAATCCCCCATGTTCAATAAAAATGAAAAATGCTAAGGTGGGAGCCAAGGGGCCTGCTGACGAGTAAGTGGACTGCCAAAGGGTGCGAACTAGCCATTAGCAGTTCGCAAATGCCACCCATCTTTTGTCCAATTCCATTTCCCTTGTTAAATTTTCGAAGTAAGTCGCAAAATAAAATGTTTTGTTATTAAAAAAATATAAGAAAGTTAATCTCAATCATATAATAAAATAAAATGGGCCTTCAACAGGGGAATTCCTTGTCTCTCTTTTTTTTTCTTTCGGTTGTGCAAGGCCTACATGGGTTGATTAAAAACGCTTGTTGATGATACCGTTACGAATGGGGAGGCTGATTTGGACAATTTCTGCAATGTTAATGGTGTCTTGAGATAAAATTTTTATTTTTGAACATGGGAATTATGGGGGATAGGGGAATTTTTTTAATTATTAGTAGAAATTAAAATTTTAATCAATTAAATCCAAACTTTAAATTTAAAGAGTAAATTATTAATTCCGAAGACTCGGTTTGGTGTCTTGAAATAATTTAAACTCTTATTTCGTTTAAGAAATAGTTTTAAGAAAAGTAGAGTCATTGGTGTGAACAGCGGCGGAGTCGGAAACTTTTTTGCACAGAAGAAGCTTCTTTGATTAAAAAATAATGTATTTATGTGTAAATAAAAAAGTTGATAAAAGAAAAAAATTAAAAAATTATTATAAACAATATTTTTATGGAATAAACAATATTTATTATTCCTTGTTTATTTTTAATAAATTTAGTTTTTCAATAAAATAAAAATATAATAATTTATTAATAAAATTTAATATTTATTTTTAATTAAAGTATTATTTAAATAAGATTTATATATACATATTTTTAAAACAAGGGTAAAAAAGAAATTAATGTTTTAAATGATATTTTACAAAAAAAAATATTGTATAACTAAATTTAAATGCTTTAAATAAAAAATTAAATTTACTAAAAATAAACAAAAAGAATAGATTTTATCGGTAAATTAATAATGATTAATGAAGCAATCTAAATGTCATTAATTGAAAGACAAAATAAACATATGTAATGAGTAAAAGGACACTATTTTTTTTTTTACAATAAAAAACTTAAATTAGTTAATGTGTTAGTACCTATAGTATTAGTAGAGAAACTCAAATGCTTGGAGAGAGTGCAATCCATCAGTTGCCCATTTGAGTAACAATGGTTACCATTGGATCACAACAAGAGAATGCTAAAAAACACTATTAAAAAAGGGAAAGTAAGAGGCACTCCCTATTCTTGTATGGTCAGTCGCAAAAGCCACGTTCAAAGGGGGTTACGGCCCCTTGGTCTTTTGAAAAAATTTTAAACTAGTCCACAAATTTTATATTTTAAGAACTTTATTTTTAAATTTTATTTTATTCATGTAATTATTTTTAATATTTATGAAACTAATTATCATTACTCATTTTGTAAATCTTGTCATTAAATTTAAAATAGAATGTTGACATAATAATTAATAATTCTTTAAGACTAATCTAACTATAAAAATGGCCTTTTAATCTCTAATATTTTTGACAAAAAATTTGATAAGAAAATATTTAAACTTTTGACATTTTTCTTTCTTCTCTAAAAAACCTTAAATTATCACATTTGTAGTGCCCAAATTTAGTTTAAAACATTCATTTTAGTTACTAATATCTATTTTTTTTAAGTCAAATATTAAAATTTAACTTCTAACTCAAACTTTTTTATTAAGTCAAATATGTTTATTTTATTTTATCATTTACTATATGAATTTTCTATGTGTTTATAAATTTATTACATTTTTATATGTTTTTATTATTATTTTTCTCACAAATATAGCTAGATAATTATTCACTAATCACTAAAAATTTTGAAGGATAATATATATGACATTGAATATGGCCAAGTTTGATTTTAGATACAAGTTTATAGTTTATAATTATGTGTTACTCCCTTTAGTCTTTTTTAATTACTCAATTTCTATTAGAGTTGGCCCTAAAAGCCAACTAGGTTAGCAAGACAATCTTATAAACTTGTGATTATACTTATTATATTTATGGCATTTTTTATTAAATATTAACTATTACTCTTGTGCATACATTAAATATTGATAAAACTTTTAAGATATCTACTGCATCAAAAGGTAATAGTAATTCTTGCTATTATGAGAATTGTATGATATGATAGCAACATTCTTAATTATCCAATGATTGTATATATTGTTGAGATAGTATACATCATTGATATAGGATATCAATAATACGAAGACCATCATATGTAACATTTGGTGAGAAAGCAAGACTTATTCTCATGAAGTTTCATATCACATGTAGGTGATTTAAAGTAATTATACTGAATTGTGCTGCCATAAAAGCTTTACATATATATGTCATTAGTAGTTTCTCAATTATGACACAAGTGTAAGTGATCTTTTAATTTAGAATCACCATTGTTTTATGTAAAAATTCTTGTATTTTGATACCATTAAAAACAGTTACTTTAAGGAGTTGCCAGTAATATAAAACCATAATAAGCCTTTATAAAGAGATACTTATCGGCAAAACAAAACCTCTACCATATCAAAATTACATACAGGAAAAGGAAAGAGATAGTTTTAATAAAAAAAAAATAAAAAAGAGAAAGGAAAGAGATAGTTGTCACAATTATATATTACCCGCAGATTCCATTTCTTTTAACAGTCAGATAGACTTCATTAATGACGAGATAATGTCTACAATAGTCAAAAGTAGTGGAGACTGAGGGTCCCAAAGTACTTGAGACTGAGGGTCCAACAGAGCCCCCAAAGTTACCGTTAATTGGCAGGGTATATATTATATTATATATACGTATATAAAACTTTTCCACTAAGTTGGCTATATTAACAAATAAATACTGTTTTTTATATTAATGATACGAGTTTGATTTATGTGAAAAGAGTTTAATTTTTTTAGAAAAAATTTAATTTTTTTAAATAAAATTTTAAATTTAAACTTTTTGAAAAAAAAATAAACATTGAAAATTTTTTTTTATAAGATTTAATATGATTCAATTTTAAATCAATTAAAATTCAATACAATAACTGAATATCCAAAAAGTCAATAAAAAAAATACTGTTTTTTATTCTTTAAATAATGATCTTCGTCAAACATATACTCATTAATTGTAAATTTACGCCTTTTACCTTATTCATCCTTAAAAGCCGGCCAAATTGTTTGAAGAGGGTTGGAATTAGATTCTTTCTCGATGAGCAAAATTAAAAGTTTGCTAATTTAATGTTTAAAAAATTAACAATTGTCCTCTCCTTTATTGAATAGTGGGAATGAAAAGAAGCCGTCGAGGAAACTGAGAGCCCTCTTGTTTGTTGGGTGTATGATATACCGGACCGGAGTTCCTTATTCTGGTGCCGTTTTTACTATTACCTCCTCTCTATTTTATTTGTAATATGGAATTTATATATTATGATACAGACCATATATTTAAAATGTAATTTAATTTATAAATTTATTAAAATTATTTTAATAAATTTATAAATTAAATTATATTTTTAATATACATTCCGTTTCATAAAATATTTATTTGTTTTAATATTGTTTTCTTAGGGAAAAAAAAAAAAAAACCAAAGAAGTAGTTTTATACTTTAATTTACTTGTTAACTTCATGCCTAAGAATTCAGACACGGTGTTCCGAGAAATGTTCTGCTTCTGCGTCGTCTGCTTGCATTTGCATTGAACCTTAACAAAAAGATAAAAAGCGTTGGTTGATTAAAAAGGTGAAACGGCTTTTATGGCATGGAAGCATCTTGCTTCCCAGCACCTTGCTTCCCAGCATCTTCCTTCATACTAGCAAGTTGCAATCTCAGCATTTGCCTTTTTGCAACGTTGCAAATATACAATTTTAGGAGGGAGGCTAGAGGAAATACACTAGAGATATCTCGAAAATGCTACTAATTAATTTAATTCTTTGACTTAATTGGTTTGAAGACTCTGAACAAATGGCCCGAGCATAAACACTTCTAGGGTACGTACAACAATTGAGTACATTAATTGTACATAAGCAAGATACTATCTCAATGCCATTGTTCTAAAAATCAGATCAGACTAATCAGTTGAACTGTTCAACCATTTAATTTAACTTTTGGAGAATTTTCTTTAAATTTGCGACGTCGAGTTTGGGTGAACCGTTCAAACATTCAACCATTCTGTTTAAACCTTTTGGAGAATTTTTTTTAAATTTGCCATCTCGGGTTTTGAACACAAGACTTGAAGGAGATTTTCAATGACTTTTGCCACTAGAACGGTACCTCTTTGATTGAAAGGATTTGCTAACAATTTTATTTATTTTATTTTTGAAAGAAAAGAATTCATGATGCCATCCAGCAGAATCGAACTTTCTTCTTGTTAAAATTAATATAGTGTTCAT